CTGGGTGCTTGCAAGTATGGAGTTCTAGGAGTAGGGCCACTCCTCACCTGGCCGCCGGTCTCTGTCCAGCCCTGAGCTTGCCATGACTTTGCCCAGGTTCCTCCATGGTGGCTCCTCCCCAGTCCCCCAAACTGAAGGGCTCCCTTCCCAAACGGGCAATTTCTCTGTAATAGGAGGTTCACCCTCCTTCCAAAGCTGGACAGGGCCAAGGCCGGGGGAAGGGGGCAGGAGGTGCCCATGCTGGGCCTCCATATCCCAAGGGATGAATGAGGAAGGACCAAGTGGCGTCCTGAAGACATATCAGAGGGAACTCCTCACTGGCCAGCCCGGACAACACCAGAAGCCTGACTTGCGGGATCCTTGTCCTTCCCCCCAGCTTTCCTTCACCTTCCAAATCTGTTCCACATCCAGCCTATTTTCCCTCTTGTCCTGTCTCCTCCAGGATTCAGCTTCCTCCACAATGAGGTGGGGATGGAAGCACCTGCCTCTCAGGAGAGATGTGAAGGTCAGGCCCCTGGCCCTGTGCAGCCAGTCATGTTCAAGGAATTGTCTGAACTGATGAAAGTGTTTTGTAAATTGGAAAACACTAGAGAAATATTAGCCGTTATAATTGGTCCACTTAACTTCCTCAGACCAAGTTCTTCCCAAGCAAAACAAATTCCCCTCAACTCCCTCTCCCCACTAAACTGCAAATCCCCATAACTGCCCTCCTTCCTCTTTTCCAGTCTCAACCCAAACTTGGCTCGCCTTGCCCATCCCAGGCACAGGTCCGGCAGGAAGTGACCAGCCTCCATTGCTTCCTGCCCCAGGTCTGGGAAAGTTCACAGGATCCTGAGCTGAGAGATAAAGGGAGTAGCAGGAACCGTGCTTCCTCCTGAAAAAGCACCTCCCCCTCTTCCTCCCTTGCCCTCCAGACTCAAGGCAGGAAGAGAAACCTGGGGAAAGGGCCTCGGAGGAGAGGCCTCCATCATGTGTCCATTCTCATCAGTCAGTGGGTGTCACCTTTATCCCAAAGGGAAGAGCCTCCTTACCATGGCTCTCCCACCTGCTCCAAACTTCTCCCTCCTCAGGTCCCTGGGGGCATTGTGCCTTTGCTCCCAGGTTTTGGGGAAAGCGAAGGGATGTGTTTGTGAGGGGGTGTTGAGAGGACAGGGTAACACTGGGCACACATTCCTTGTGCTGTGGACACTCCCAAAATACCATTTGGCTCTTTGCTTGCTGCAACACACATTTCCTAAGTACATGCTCGGTACCACTCAGCTGGACACCAAAACTGGAAGGCACCTTCAGAATGGGGGTGTCAGAAAGGGACAAAGCCCACCTTAGGGGGAAGGATCTCAGATCTCTTCCAAAGGAGGGCACAGAACACATGAACCAAGAAACGGAACAATGGTGTAGGATCCGTTTGCAGAACTGCAAAAAGTTCTATGAAGACAGAGGAAAAGAAGGATGAGGCAGCGGCAATAAATTAGTCTGGTGAGATGGGCAGGGGCCAACTCACAAAAGATATTGGGTACTAATCTAATCTAAGGAGGTAGAACTTTACCCTGAAAGCTATGGGTGGGAACAGAACCAGAAGTGCTGCCAGGAACACCACGGGGGGAAGAAGGGTTCAGTGAAGTCAGATGAGAACAGACAGTGGTCTTTAGACTTGTCAATGTGGCAGTCACTAGCCACTGACGGGCAGCACTGGAGGCAAAGTGGAGGGGAGGCATGAACCTGTGGTGACCACATGATATATGGTTTTCTCTCAGCAGGCTAAACTCCTACATAGGAGGGGGTAAGAATGGATGGATTAATTCAGGGTTGGGATTCTGAGGGAGACTGCAGTGGAAGGACATGGTGACAAGAAAGATGGAGTAATTAATGATGAACGAATGAAGTGATGAACATGGGATCTAGATCTGGAACTGGATAGAATTTGGTGGCCAGAGTGGGATAACTATTTTTTAAAAGATTTTCATGGGCCGAGCCCGTGGCGCACTCGGGAGAGTGCAGCGCTCCCGCCGCAGGTTCGGATCCTATATAGGGATGACTGGTGCGCTCACAGCGCTCACTGGTTGAGCGCGGTGCGGCCAGTCTCAAAAAGGACAAAAAAAAAAAGATTTTCATGCCAACAGAGAAAGGGCAGCTAGCTATTTACAGCAGTGATTTACCAGTGATCTATATTCTTCACTCAGGGTTCCAAACTAGAATACTGGTGAAAGTCCCATTGTGTCTATCTCCAGATCTGTAAAATAGAGAACTGTACTAGATGATCCCTAAAATCCTTCCAGCACTATTAGGCAGTGATTCACTGCTATTGTCTTATTTGTATCCTCTTTACACCTACCTTAGTGTAATGACCAACCTTACATCCTCAATAAATGTTTGAGTACCTGATGGTATTTCTCTCACAGTCACCTGTCAGTGTCTAGGTACATCAACAGTGCCCAACCTGTTGACTGAGTGATGGTGACATCCTGAGGAAGTCCCTCCCTTTGCCTCCCTAGCAACCCTTCCTGTGAAGTGTTTGAGGACCAGATGCAAGTCCAGCCCTCAGTCACCACCTCCCTACCTTCAGATTCCTCTTGCCATGGTCCATCTTACAGTCTATAGTGACCAAAAGAGAGTACTGCCAAGTGGGTAAGAGGGCAGGTTCTGGAGTCAGACCCCTTACGTTGACTACAGTTCTTCTATTACTTTGGATACGTTACTTAATGTCTATTATTTTCTCATAAAAGTTTTATGACTCATTTTTCACATTTCTGAATTTATTTTCATGAGTAGTGTGAGGTAGGGACCTAATTTTATTTTTCTTCCATTTGGCTAGTTGATTGTCTCAATACTATTTACTAGAGAACTCATCCTTTCCCCACTCAGGTGCATGGTTCTTCTGGCTCTTACAAGTATTTCCACATATGCATAGGTCTGTTTCTTGGTTCCTTGCTCTGTTCTGTTTCCTAATTTATTTCCATTTCTACCTACCTAGTCTCATTTTATTCTTATTTATCACATACTTTAGTTACTATCTCTTTATATTGTCTTGATACTGAAAGAACACAGAATTTCCCTACTAGTCCTGTGTTTTTCCTAGAAATTTCTCCAAATTGTCTTAGACATCCTTGGTGCTTTACCCTATGATTTTAGAATTAAGTTTGTCTAGTTCCTTTAAAAAGCGGCTAATGTCCCTATGCCTCCATTTCCTTTACTATGACCTATGCTTCTTGGGACTGCAAAGACTAAGTGTAAGCAATGAACACAGCACCTGGCATTAAGACCTTGAACACAAGAAACACTCAGTATCATCTTCCCCAAAAGCTCAACCTGACGCAGTCACTGTGCTGTTTTAAAACCTTTGTTGGCTTCCCAGTCATGCAGAGTAAAGTTCGAGCACGGTCTGCCAAGCCACCTGACCCCAGCTTTCCTTTCCCGCAGCACCTCCTGCCTCTCCCTTCTTCCTGCCCACTACTGCTATCAGGCTCCAGACCCAGCAAACTTACTGTTACCCGAGCATAGCACCCTGCCCTCCCACATGCTATCCCTTCAGCTGGGGATCCTCCTCACAGTTTTGCATTTATCCTCTGAGAATAAAATGAAAAAGCCAACATGGAGTAAACATGATAGTGATGGGCCATCTGTAGAATGGTCTACAATGATCTGACATGGGTGAGTGGAGCTCCAAGAACACCCAAATCTCAATTACAGGTAACCAGTTGGTGGTTTCCTGAGTATATCATTTGTATCAGCATCCATCAGCTCATAGCATCATCATGCACACTAAATCTGACCAAAAAAGTCTCCTTTGATAAAGGAAGGAAGGGTAATCATCAAGGAATGGACAAAGGAAGCCTGCAGAATCAGGATTTTAGGGAGAAAGGGCATCCTGACCAGGTGATAGGGAATTTGTCCTGTGGTGGAATGAAGCCAACAGGCTACTATGGGCACATACATTAGTCTCTTGTGAGTTAGGTTCAGGTGAGTCTTGTCCTGGAAGTGACCCTCTTCCACTGACCACATCAGGTTTCTTGTCTTACAAAACTTGGGCAGTGGAGATGCCACGAGTCCCATCCTAGAGGAGCCAGCCTGTGTCGTGGATGGACATGTTTATCGGATTGATAACACTGTTTATTCTCGCTTCAGTGTCTCTCTTCACTCCCAGGTCCACGCCTTGAATCCACATAGCCTCAGGTAGAGTATCACAACAGCTTCCAGCCTGCTCCTCTCCAAGTTCTTCTGTTGACTCCTCTCAGACAGGCTGATACCACACAATTGCCCTGTTCAAGAGCACAAGCATGAAACTGCACTCCTCAGACTGGCTTTTGTGGTTTTCCATAACTCGACCTCATTGTCCTTTATTTTTCATTACAGCTCAAAATGCTCTTGTTTCTCTCGTGGGTCTCGGGCAGGGGACAGCGCACAGCTCATTTAATGCTGCTCTCCCACTGATGACTCCCGCCTGTTCTCCTTTGCCTGCAAGTCCCACTACTCTACAGCTTCAAAAACTGGCTCCAGGGCCGGCCCGTGGCTCACTTGGGAGAGTGTGGTGCTGACAACAGCAAGTCAAGGGTTAAGATCCCCTTACCAGTCATCTTTAAAAAACAAACAACAACAACAACAACAAAAAACTAGCTTCAGCCCTTCCCGACTCCACCCCCCCCACAGGAAAGCAATTTCTTCCTATGTTTCCTTGTTGTCCTGAACATGGCTCACCTTTTCCCCTGCCAGCTCTTTTGGTTCCCCCTACAGCCTCCTCAGCACTGGGCACTGGCAGTATACCCAGGGCTCTCCTGGGCACCTTGCAGCAGGGCTGGCAAAGGGAACAAAATGCTGATTCTAACTGCAATTGGCTTCTCCACTATGTTCCTCACTTGAATTAACAGCAAATTTTCCATAGGGCCTCCCCTGACTTCCAGGGCAATTCCCAAGAACCCAGCAGAGGAATTGGTATAAAATCAAAAGACTGAGATGAAGGCCTCAAGGGAAACCTCTGGAAAGAAGAGACCAGACACTAATAGGGATGTGTGTGAAATACTGGTTTTTATTGGTTGGCACAAGATTACAACCTACAATTCCAATGCCCTTCCCTCCCACACAGCTCAAATGGAAAGAAACTGATTAACATATAGAAAGGAACGACAGGCTCACAGGTTTAAGCATGTTTTTACAAAAAGGAATGGGATGGGGTGGTGGAATTTTAGGGGTAGTACCAAAGCTCTCTCTATACTACAGGGGAGGGGTCTGCCTGTCTCCTGCTGCTGGCTTCACATAAGGGGACACGTCAGTAAAGAAGGGGAAGGGTGCATGTGGCTGGCCTGCTATTAAAGGAGGTAGGGGGGATGGTATCTGCTGTACGCCTATCTGGGGTCAAACCTGGGGCTGGACCAGTGTCCCTTTCTTCTGAGCCCTCCTCCACAACCCAACTGTACTTCTGGCTGCAACCATGGAAAGGAGGTGTGAAGGAAGCCCAAACTCCCACCTTGAAAAAAGGAAACTGGAAAACTCAGTGTCCTTTTGCCTTCTCTGAACCAAATTCCACTCCCCTCAGCTGCTGAGAGCACGGTAAAAGTCTTCCTTAGCAGCCCTGTGTGGGCAAGAAGAAAAGCTTGACTTTCCACGCAGTACTAAGCAAGTACATTTTTCTGTTTTGGAAACAAAAAAAAAAAAAAAATGGGAAAACAAGACCATGCACTCAATGGTCTAAATCCTGGAGGGCATCTGCACTGGGGGTAAGGGCAATGTTACTCCCCTATGTCCTTAACTGACTTTCCACGCAGTACTAAGCAAGTACATTTTTCTGTTTTGGAAACAAAAAAAAAAAAAATGGGAAAACAAGACCACGCACTCAATGGTCTAAATCTTGGAGGGCATCTGCACTGGGGGTAAGGGCAATGTTACTCCCCTATGTCCTTAACCCTGCACCAGGTGCAAGAGGTTTATGGACCACAACCAACCCCTCCTTCCCTACAAGCACCATTCCTTGGATTCCCCAGTTTTGTTAAGCTCATATGGGGTTATTCCTGCCACCCTCTACAAAGATGACTCAGTCTGCTGGCTGTTCCATTTTCTACCCTTTCTACAGTTATGAAACACACTACTTAAACAGGTGCTAGATATGCTCTCACTCAGAAGCCCAAGGGACTAAGTGACCTAATGATGGGAAGGCTAAATTGTTTGCTTTCCTGGGCAGTCCTGATGGAAATGGACTGCAGCAAGGTTCTGGTGGGATTAGAGCAGTCTAGTTTGGGCCACTCTGTGAATCCCCAGGGGACTGGGTCCCTGGATCCCTGGCTCTCTATCTCAATTTTAGAGATATTCACTGGACTTGACCATTTAAGCCTCAGCTAATGTATGGGCACTAGAGGGAAGGGACAGAAAGACTTCTGTTCTTTGGGAAAAGTTAAACTCAATATATCTCGGCCACTTTGCTTTAATCCAAGGGATTCCCTGGAAACACGTGTTGAACTTAGCCAAGAGGAGACTGCATCTGGACAGGACACCTGTGGTAGGGAAGAAAGCACATCTAGTTCCTCTCTCACTCTTTCTCTCTCTGGCAGCTGCTGGTACAGGGATTAAACCCTGGACTTTGGTGCTGTCAGCACCATGCTCTAACCAACTGAGCTAACCTGCCAGCCCTAGGTCATCTCTATTAAAATGGAATGGTCCTAGGGATGTTACCCTTTCTGATGCTGATGGTAGATGGCAGATGGAGTGGAGATGATCATAGTAAGGAAACCCCCTTTGAAAATTTTTAGGCTGTTTGGAGACCATACACTACAGCTCAGCAAACAGAGCTGGGACCTTGCTGCCTCTTCAGAGCCCATCCCCTACTAAGGTCATCGGATAGAATGGAAAATAAGGTCCCTGAAATAAAGGCTGGGCTGGCAAAAGCAAGTGTGAAGATACTACTATTAGGCGTCCACTTCCTCTTTCTGATACACTACAGTAGATGAGAGACACCTGTTTCACTTTCATTTCCAACAGTCCCCAACATCCTCCAGTGCTCCTGACTTCCTTAATTAAGCACATGGCAAACTGGCGGCTATCATTCTTAAAACAGATGCACTAACTGGAACTTTACCTATTCTAACCACCAACCCTTTCTTTGATTATAAACCAGTTTGAAAGTTTTCAGACCATGAAACAATACAACAAAACTGACATTTACAAAACTGTAGCACATACTTATTACTTTTATGCTAGAGTGCACCAATTGCTTTTCTAACTACTAATGCAACACTATGCCACTGGGCCCTGGACTCCCTCATGTATCTGAGCATGTACATGGTACATGGACTCCCCCACGTACCCTGAGCAACACATCTATGTCTGTTCACAGAGTGAAAGGGTGAGGTTCTCAGAAGCTAAACAAAACTCTAGTAGCAAATTAGATTTTTGAAGAGAGAGTCCCTTTGGAAAATTCTGAGCAAAAATGCTCACACCCACAAGGGAAGAGGTGAAAGGGCAGGTTTCTGTCTGTGAGCTGCAGCTTAGATGCCTGTCATTCCTTTCTGAACTCTTTCATGTTATTGGGAGGACACAAGCCTTTTGCTCACTGAGCAAAGTCTCTAAGTCCTCACTTCACTTTACGGCTTTGGAAGCTCTCCAAGACCTAACTTCAGATCTGCTCCCTGGAGAGGCTCTGTGTGGAACAGACCAATCCATTTCTGTTCCTGTTCCTGGGTGTCTCAATAATCAGCCTCTACCTTCCCAGGCATGAGTCATATCTGTTACGCTGCTGGAATTGAGTAACTAAAACTAGACGTCCTTTGGGATCATTTACTAGTGGCACATTTTCTACACAACGTGGGGAGGTTAAAAAACAAGGTTGAACCCTGAAAAAAAAATTTTTTTTTTCAGTGGGACAATAAAGAGATGAAAGAGGCTACATGGATCTGTGGCTGCTTTAGCTTAACATTTTCAGTTCAGCACAAAAGTGCTCAGGAAAACAGGCTCAAATCAGGATGACTTTCTAGAGGGATTTACAGACAATCTCACTGGTAAAATGATTTCCTAAAGGTGAGCCGCTTCATCTCACACTAGAGATGGGAGTACAGTCTTAAGGCCCAGCATTGAAAATGGGGCATCTTGCCTTTTTCCCTAAGAAGTTGAAAAAACTTAAGATTTTGATCTAAATGCCTGGTTGGGACCTCAAGCTCAGAAAGCTATTTTACTGTACTGTTGAGATCTTTTCTGAAAGGAACACCCACATATAATAAGCAATTTGGTAGATAATTATTCCAGACCAGAATTTATGTTCTCCAACTCAATGATTGATTGGGGGGGGGGGGGGCCCCTGGAAGGATAGATAGCACATCAAAATGGTGATGAACCTAGCCAAAAAAAAAAAACCTAGCTGCTGTTTTTTTGTATCCTTTAAAGCCTATATCCAGGCTTTTAAATGCCTTTTTTGGTATTGCCTGATAAGAAGTCAAATAAGTTTTGGGGTTAAGAACTGAGAACATAAACCAAAGAAAACCAAGAATAATTAAACTACTGACCGCCAGAGGAGTCTCTCTCCAGCTTCTAGATAGTAATTTTACTTTTTTGGCCAAAAGTTTCTTCTTCAGCAGAGTTCTCAATTCTGAGTTAATGTAGCTTCTCTTGGATCTATCCACCCAACGA